CCCGTTTTGTGTGCGGGATACGCCCACAAAAGGGGGATTTTGGAGCGCGACTCGCAGGTCCGGGCCGTGCCGGGCTATCAGATGCGCAGGTGGAATGCCGCGCTCTTTGTTGGCACAACATGAAGGCCGGCGGCGGGAGAGGAAATGGGCGGGAAAGGCCCGCAGCCAGGCACCGGATAACAGCCCGATCACGTTTCCACCCAACAATCTGTCACTTTTGAAAGGCGCAAAACAATCCGCTTTGCTCCGCCTCTTTCGGCTCCCGCTTGGGGGAGTTCACCCGTCGCACTTTTGGGAGAGTCATCGAACCTGCGCGCGTACTTGGGAGTCGAGGCCTTCCGACGCTTTTTCTGGGTCCGTCGACTCGTGAGCCAATTTCGTGTTGCAAAGTGAAGATGAGATAAGATAAGAAAACCTTGATTTGTCTCACAATGGAGAAATTCCCAATTTACAGCCGCAAAGCCAGCTTTAGGGGATGAATTTCCAAAAAGGCCAGAATGAACGGCCGTGTTTTTTTTTTTTTTGAGGGGGGGGGCGTGGCTCTTGGAGTCTTTTTTTCGTGGATCTACTCATGCAACACAAGTCGCCTGAAGTTGATATTGCAAAATCAAAGTGGTTTTGCGGGGCTGAATTTCCAAACAAAAAACGAAGGACGGAAGGAAGAGAAAGAGGGGGGCTGGGGGGCTGACGGGCTGGAGCCAAATGTCTACCTTTCATTGGACTAAAAAAAATGACCATCAACAAACAACAAGATGCGACTTACCAATGCAACTTTCTCGTACCTCTGCCTAAGCTACGTCGGGAAGCTAGTGCCATGTTGTGCGCTGTTGCGTCACTTCCGTCATAATTTCAACTTCCTGTCACTCCGTTACACACTGCCCGAAGACAGCTGGCATAGGCTCCAGCACGTTCGAGCGGATCAGAAAATTGATGGATGGACTTTTGTAGCCAATCAGGTGGCCAATAAAGAGAGAGAGAGAGAGAGAGAGAGAGAGAGAGAGAGAGAGAGAGAGAGAGAGAGAGAGAGAGAGAGAGAGAGAGAGAGAGAAATGGAAAAAAAACCGTGTGGGAATGCTGTCCTCAAGTGGCTGGCAGCCTCAATTACATTTGGGATGGCGACCCTCGGAGCGTGTGCTTTTGCTTCATCTTGTTGCGAGTTCACAATGACGTCAGCGTGCCAGGCTTTTGGTTTTCGGGGCCCAAGGAAGCCACGTGACCGACATCCCCATCATGATCAGTATTGTTCATTATCAAGAGGGGGAGCAAGGCTGGAGCTTCTTGTTCACTGTTAATGTGAACTTCAAAGAAATACATTTGGATATTTTGCTTTTTCAATTTTATTGTATTGGCTGGGAATTTATGCTTCATTTAATTTGAAGCACATCGAATTGCCTTGTGTAGGAAATGTATTACATAAACAAAACTGCCTTGCCTCATTTCCATCAGAAAGAAAAAAGATTGAACTCACTTATTTTCGTAATATCAGGACTTTCTTCCTGGAAAAAAAAAACATTTACTTCGCTCTCATAAGATTATTTTAATGGAAAAAAATACATTAGGCTTTCTAAATATAAATTGTCCCAGAAAAACTTGATTGAATTGAATTCTACAGGGTTTCGCGTGAGCACAAGATATTTCATCGGCCCAATATGAGTGAAAGGCACGACATTGCTTATTTGGACTTCATGACGCTCTGTTGCTCTCCGACTGGCCACGAGAAATGCCGAGTCATGCTTTGGTCGTCATTTGTCGTTCCTTTGTTTCATTTTTTTTAATCGAGATAAAACCTTCATTAAATATCTAGAATTACTGAATTTATATTTTAAAGGAAAACGGAAGCGTAAGTAACAGAAGGTTTTAGTTCAAGTTGTACCGGAAACGTTACAGTTAACGCCACCCCAGAAAAAAAAGACTGACTGAGTCATGATTGGATCCGCGCTTTCTCCCGCGATGCATTGCGGCACAACCATGACGCATGCGCACTATCAGCTACGCTTCATCAGTCGACGTGCGTTGAGAAAGAATAAAAAAATAACAATCAAAAATATTTGGAGCAGTTGAATGAATGCGATATTACATCTGGTAAATTCATAGCTGAATGGCCACACAGCGGAGTTATAAGAAGGATTTTTTTATGCGTCTCGTGAGCTAGCGAGCTAACAGGCTAGCCCACGTATTTGGCTTCTTTGAGTTCATGTCATTGTTGTCCCAATGTACCTTCTTTCCACGGTAGTCGCTTCTTTGGCCGTCTTTTTTTTCTTGAAATGGATGAAAAAGCGACGCTACTGCACCGACGTCAAACGACTGGACGGAAAAACGGTTCTTATTACTGGTAAATTGGGCCACTTCCGGCTCTGTCAATCGACTGCAAATGGACTTTTTTTACAGTCGGCGCATCAACTTGTTTGAGTCGTGCGTTTTGCAAGTCTCTAAAGCGTCTGTGTGTGTGTGTGTGTGTGCGTGCGTGTGTTTGTGTCTATATCTATAGACATAGACACATAATGTAATGTTTCAAAATATCACCACACATAAAAAAACTTCTATCACACTAATGCTAATGACTTTTTGCTTCGTCAATACAGCATACGGGTTTTTTTTTAAGCGGGGGTAATAAATGGGGCCCCATTCCATTTTTTATGGATATATTTTATGTGTTTGGCCTTCAATTGAAAGTATTTGGACATCCCAAGCCAAAGTTTAAACTATCAATAAAGATAATTATAAGAACAAAATTAGGGGGAGAGCTGTCTACTTTTTTTTTTGCTATTTCAAGGCGAGGTGATTGTATTTCGAGAGCAGATTTCATAGACAAGCCCACTTAACGTGTATCACACAAGCAACGATTCGGCAGCTTAAAGCATTTACAAACAACAGTTAACGACATTTGGGTGCAAGGTAGAGAAAACAGAAATTGCTTCTGACAATCGCTCAAGGAACCCGCACGTTAAGAGAAAACCTCAAAAACAGTTTCAAGAACTAGAAGCAGGTTTCTAAAACTCCTAAAAGAAAATGAATACAGAATGATTTGTTTAGAAGACCTTCATCAAAGATATGGGGGGGGGGCAAACTTTTTCAACCTGGATGGCCTCAATCGGCCCCTTACTCCAAACGAATCCGTGAAATAAATGTTGAAACTGCGCATCATTTTACGGCGGCTTAAACATTTTTTTTTAATGCGGCGCAGTGCTTTTGCTCAGGATACCTGTGGTCCTGACATACAGTATGGAACGTGAAAGGAGTACCCTTGAGTTGAATGAAAGCTTTTCGAAGCGTTTTGTTTTCAAGGATGGATTCGGGGTCGAATTGAACCGAGGCGCGATCCACCGGAGCCACCGTCCCGCTTCTGTTGTGTCTTCGGCAGGGGCCAGTTCGGGCGTCGGCAAGGAGACGGCCGTGGCGTTGGCCGCCAGGGGCGCCCGCGTGGTCGTCGCCTGCCGGGACGCGGGCAAGGCGGAGAAAGCGGTGCGGGAGATCAAGTTGCGCAGCCGCAGCCTGGCGGTGGTCGGCATGGAGCTGGACCTGGCCAGCCTGCGCTCGGTGCGCCGCTTCTGCGAGAACTTCTTGCGGCGGGAGGAGAGGCTCGACGTCCTGATCAATAACGCAGGTGGGTCCGTGGCTCGGGAGTGCCGACGTTGTGACAAAGGGCCTGTGCGTCTACCTCCTTCCTCCTCCAGCCATGCCCGGCGTCCTGGACTGGACGGAGGACGGCTTCAGCATGTGCTTGGGCGTCAACCACCTGGGCCACTTCCTGCTCACCAACCTGCTGCTGGGCCGCCTGAAGGAGTGCGCCCCCAGCCGCGTGGTCACGCTCACCTGCTCCAGCTACAAGTACCAGAAGCTGGACTTGCACGACCTCAACTACAACCTGCTGCCCTTCTTCACCTACTGCCGCAGCAAGCTGGCCAACGTCTACTTCAGCCACGAGCTGGGCCGCCTGGCGCGAGGGAAGGGCGTCACCTCCTTCGCCGTGCACCCCGGTGAGGCGCGGGGGTGCGCCTCTCTCTGGGGGATGGCGCAGAATAACATGAGATTCACTCTTTCGTTCTCATTCGGATAGTTTGTATTGCTTTTGAAAATCTTTCATTGTATTCGTTGGACCGCGTACGTCTGCGATGAATGCCAAAGATGAAAACCGAAGACATTTTACTCACGCGTGATGTGGTTTCAGTTCGGTGTTTGTTTGTTTTTTCCTGTTCGCCCCTTCAAATGCCGCTCATACGCTTGGCAACTGTTCTAACGTTGCCCAACGTGTGTTTTGTGTGCCCAGGCTTGGTGCGGAGCGAGTGGACGCGCCACTATTCGTTGTTGTTCCGAGCCGCGATGCGGGTCCTCGCGTGGATGTTGTCCGCGTCCTGCGAGGCGGGCGCTCAGACGGTGGTCTACTGCGCCGTGTCGGACGAGGCGGCCCGTCTGGGGGGCGGCTACTTCGTGGACTGCCGGCCCGCCACCCTGCGACCCTTCGCCCGCGACGCCGGCGTGGCCAAGAAGCTGTGGGAGGCCAGCGAGAGGCTCGTCCAACCGCCGTGACAATTTCTCCCGCTCCGACGTCAAAAGTTGCGGGCGGTTCGTCCGCTGACCGACCGCAAGTTCCGTTGGAGAGGCGGGATCCATTTTGGATCGGAGTTGGCTCCGATCAATTCGTATTTTCGGTCAATCGGTGAAATTGTCGTCCACTTGAGGAAATCAAGGAAAAATATGTGTTGAATGTCGTACTCTACTCATAAAATTGTTTTTATTGTATTTTTGGTGATAAAAATCACATCTATTTAAAGCGAGAGAGATCCCCGTCTTGCAAAAGTGTCTTGAAATTTTTATATCATGATTCCTATGGGGTGGAAATATCTCCTCCGAAATTTATGCCAAAATGCTTGTCGACACAAAAGTAATGGGCTCCGCCTTGTGGTAACAGACGCGCCCCTCCACCCTGGAGTCGACTGGACGACCAAAATGCTTGTCGACACAAAAGTAATGGGCTCCGATTTGTGGTAACAGACGCCCCCCCCTCCACCCTGGAGTCGACTCGACGCAGCATCCGTTGCCCGGAAAGAGCGCTCGCCACTTTTCTCTTGTCAAGGTCGCCATTTTATTGAAGCACAAGTTGTCCAAGCAACAGCAGAAAAGTAGCACGGCAGAATACAACCGAAGAGCACGAAGGCGCCATCGTATCGTACAGAATTAAAACGGGGGGGAGGACAAGCTGCAAGATAGAAAAAAAAACAACGGGGGTGATCAATGGCAAGCAAAGGCACCACCATTCAGTGGTCAAGAGGGGGGAGCTTGTGGCTTGACTGGCGACTGACATTACGTGTCATCTCTTTGTACAAAATCCTCACTTTCTACTTCATCTGCCTTAGCTCATCTGGCGACAAAAATAGCTTTCTATATTTATCTAACTTAAAACGCGGAGAAAATCGATGCGGATGAGCCAAAAGGTTGTTGGCACTGAGATCATCAGTGGCAGGCCAAAATGGAGCCCGTTTCACACCCCCCCCCCCCCCCGACCCCTCAACAACAAAAATCGATGCAAAACAATATCTAGTTCACGAAAGGTCCCCATAGAGCGATGAAGGAAAAGGTCAAGAGTGATTGATGTATTTCTCTCTCTCTATAGCGCATGTTTTGTGACCAATAAAAATGTTAGTCGGGAAAATGAGGGACTGCTTCCCAATGTGAGTCATATGTCGTGAACACGTTAAGAAAGAACAACACGTTTGGATTGGACATGCTGCTATTTTCGGGGTTTTTTTTTTATGTCTGGGGGGTGGGGGGCGTCATCGGGTAACGACGCAAGTTTTGCCGCAAAATAAACAGCAAGCTTGAAAAAGAGATTTTCTCGAAGGTCGGCAAGTCGTCGTGTGTTTCCGAGCAGAGTCATTTCATTTGCACTCAAGCGTTTGAATGAAAACTGTCAAAAGCAGCAGCCCCCTTTTCTGCACATTAACTGAATATTTTTTACTTATATATTCATATTTACGCTCCTATGTGGCATTCATTTTATGTATTTATTGGGGGGGGGCGACTTGTTGACTTATCCCACGTTAAATATTGCAAATTTTGAATGGGGAGACACTGGCCTAACAGGAGCCGCTAGCGGCTAGCCTGACAGTTTCTGTAGAAATTAAAATAGCAAGATTGCAATCCCAAGCAGCCAAAAACGTGACGGGTGCATCACACAGCATAGGAAAGAAGTGACAGAAGAAAAAAGCCACGGCATAACGATGTCCACTGTTCCACGGAATAGCCACAGTTTTGCATGCGTCCTGAAATCAAAACGAGACGAGTTCACTCGAACTAGAAATAGAAACCACTGGCATCGCTCACTTTCATGGTACAAATGACATACTGTATACAAATATGGAATCCCAAGTCTTCCAAGAAGGACTTGAAACTTTACGTCGTGTTTCCAGTGCAGTGACACAAGGGTGTGTGTGTGTGTGTGTGTGTGTGTGTGCGCGCGAGGGAGTTCCTGTTGAAGTTTGGACTGGCGCCTCCCTCCCTCCTGCCCGATTGAGCGGATCCTCCCCTTCCTGCAACACCTGCCAAAAACAAAACACAATCCCGTTCTCTGAAAAGCAGCGGCATGGCGCTCCAGCGGGTGACGACGCTCTTGAGCCGGCGGCGCGCGGATGCGACGCGACGCGACGCGACGCGTACCCGACTACTGCAGCGGTGCGGCGGGAGCTCCCGAGCAGTGGAAGTGGATGTTCTGCCACTTGGCGTCCCGGCGGTGCCACACCCGGGTCTCCTCGGACTGGCTGGACCGCGGCTGACCCTGCCCGTCCACAAACTGCGTGAGGCGGATGTAGGCCACGCAGGCGGCGTCTTCGCCGATCAGGTGCACGTGAGGGTTCAGGATGGTGGTGTGGATGGGCTTGTGGTTTTTGGACAGCACTGGACGGACGGCACACGGATGGCAACCGTCACAACCTAAATCGCTCCTCCACCAAAACAAAAAGAATGACCCACGAACCGTTTGAAAAACTCTCACCCGGATGACGGCCGAAGCTGTCGGCCGGGTGAGAGCTTTTCCGTCGCAACGGCCCTCCGGGGGAAGACTCGGGATGGCGCGAGCAAACGATCGACGCGAAGCGGTTTGTCCAACTCCCCGACAAAGCCATTTTTGTGGCGGGCCACATTTCGGTCAGCGCTTCCCTCGGAGGACCGTGATGACCGATTATTATTCCGCGATTATTCAACTTTTGTTTCAGTGACTGTCGTGAGGGAGGGGGGGGGGGGTCGCTAACAAGAAAACGCTTCCAAAATTTCTCGTCTCGCCGACGTGTGAGAATTTGACATTTCGGTCAAGATGTGAGCAAGCATCATTGGAAGTCGACATGTTTGGCTTTGCTTTGGCGGGCCACATAAAACGACGTGGCGGGACAGATCTGGGCCCCGGACGGTCCTCGACTCAAACTGGTTTGAGGGAAAAAACAAAACAAAACAAAAAAAAAAAACACAAACTGATGAAATGTCAACCTCAGACTCAGCCTGCCGTCCGACTGACAAAGTAACCGGCAAACGAAAAGGCCGGCAAAGTGAGG